ACACAAGTCAGGGCTACCAATTTGTACTTCTTAATCCTTTCGCATTTTGCACCCATTCCCCCAACCCCCTTAAATTTGGCAACATCAAAATGTTCTCTGTATCTAGGAGTGTGTTTCCATTCTGCTTGTTTTGGTTTTTTTTTTAGATTCCACATATAAGTGAAATCATGGGGCATTTGTCTTCCTCTATTTGTTTTACTTAACATAATACCCTCTGGGTTCACCCTTGTTGCAGATGGCAAGATTTCATTATTTAAATTAATTGCTGATAGATATGTATGTACTGCCATTTATTATTCATATTTATTTTTCTTCTTAAAAATGTTTTCTTGCATTTCAATGCATCGGGTTTTTTTTTTTTTAAGATTTTAGTTATTTTTAGAGAGAGGGAAAGGTAGGAAGAAAGGGAAATACCAACATGTGGTTGCCTCACACACCCTCTTCTGGGGACCTGGCCTGCAACCCATGCATGTGCTCTGACTGGGAATTTCATGTAACCCCATTACGTCTTCTTTGATTGTAATGTATAAAATAAGGTGAAAAACCACTATTTTTCCTGAGCAATTTCTCAATCCATGGATGTTTTGCTTCCTGGTAATTGTTGCCAGTTTGCCTCAAATAAACGCATAAAAATTCTTACAGGTGTGGACATTTCTGTTATGTTGGCAGACCCAAGTGTATCTTCCACATGTGGTAGGTACTCAATAAATCCAAGTTTAATCTAAATATTATCTTCCATTGTTTTATTTACTACCGAGCTTGAGAACAGGGCTTAAAACAAATTCTAAGGTTTCCCATGGAGTTCAGAACAGTACGAGTCTCTTACTAAGTGCTGAAAAGTTATTTTGGCTTGAGTTAATTATATATAAACTATTATAGTGAACAAAGCACTCATTGCTGGGAAGGAGAAAATTTTGCCCTTAACTAATATGGCAGTCGCAAGTTGCTAAGAGACATCTCAAACTTTCCAAAATGACTTAATCTCAGACTTTCAAAAAATGATTCTGACTCTCAAAAACGATTAAATGAAGCAGACTGAAGGGACAATGGGATACAAAGCATTCTCTCCATAATTATGCACCGAGACTCGGACTAAATATTAAATGGACACATAGTAACCACTCCATAATTCAATTATGAAGACGCACGCCACAGGGAGAGACAAGGGAAGGAGGAAGAACAGAGGCTGTCAGTCAGGAGAGGTCAAAAAGTGTCCCTGGCCTGAGACCCACAGACCTTTAAGCACTTGGACGTATGGAGTACGGGCCGCGCCTGGGGCCTAAGGAGGTGAGCCGCCTTCCCTAAAGGTCATGGAACTGCAGCCACGTTATCTGCCGCGGCGGAAAGCAACAGTGGAACGCCCCCGCAAGAATCTGTACCCTGAAGCCAGAGGCACCTCTGGCCAGTAAACCCGCTCAGGCTCCTGAACAGGGGACGACCAGGCTGCCCCGGCACCGCAGCCCGCTGGAGTAGAGACCCGGCCGCGTCCTGCAGCACCAACCTCCCTAAGGGGCAGACCCCCGGACCCTTGGGCTCCCATAGGCCTCAATGCAGCCCGGACCCCAGATACTCACACTCACAGCCGACCCCTCTTACTCCATCAGGCCACCGACACCTGGGCGAGGGAGCTTCCCGATGCCCCCTCCGTCTCGGGTCGGCGGCCCGCTCCCGACCCACTCCCAGCCCGCTCCCCGCCGGGCGCCACCGCCGCCGACGCCCCCGCCAGCGCGCAGGCGCACAGAGCAAACATCGCGCTCTTTTTTTTTTTTTTTCCTCTTTGCCCTGTGGTTTTCTCAATCTAGCTTTATTTGAACACGCGGTAGTGAACAACGGACACAAGGGAAAGGCTTTACTCAAAAAAATCTTTCTCCCTCTCTCCCTCTCCCGTTCTAAAACTCAATAAATTAAAAAAATAATAAATAAAAATTACCAAATTTTTTTTTTAAAGATCGGAAGACGCTCAAAGGCACCCTGGCTTGTGGAAGACAGCCCGCTGCACCGGGCACTCCTGTGATCAGCCTCCCTGGCTACTTTTTCATTCTCTTTCCTATCAGTATTTATAGACTTCCTTCTTGCTCTTACTCTTTTCTTAAGTCTCCACCATTCCCTTTAGGTAGTGGCAACGGTTTCAGCTAAATTTCCAACCTCCCCTTCCTTGTAAAACAGGAAATTTAACGCTTAATGGAAGTTTAAAAAAACCTGTAGAACAGACAGACCTGAGTTCAAATGTTGACCTAGGCACTCATTTGTGACTTTGGACAAAGTAACAAGTTCTCATGGAACTTCAATTTCCTCAGAGTTAAAATTAAAATTTTCTTATTTCTCAGAGTGTTACTAGTTTTGGGTGAGTAGACAATCTTATGTTTATAGGACAACCAAATCCTATGATTATAGTCTTATTAATACTTATTGTTTATATTTTTATTAAACATAGCTTATATTGATTCCCACTGGATACTAGTGACTAAAACTAGTTGGATAAACCAAAGTACATTAAAGTTGATAATAGTGTGAAATGTTACTCCTCCTATATTATTGAGCCTCTAATTATATCTATGTTTAACAGGACCTTCAGTGCCTCAAAGTAAGCAGCTCCCTCCAGCTATGTGTAAATCCAGATTTGCTTCTAGAGGGTTAAACAACTATTCCAATTCTGTATTTGTGACATCACAAGTCCTTGAAATACTTGAGGCCTAAGGTATGCTGCTCAACCTACTCTCCTTTTTAAAGACATGCAGTGGAAGAACTGCTATACCTATAAGCTTGGGGCCATAATCCAAGGGAAAGCTTATAGAAGACCACAGTCAGCTGTTGGTGAACATCAAGGTAATCCTAGATCATGGTTTCTCAACCTTGGCACTATTGACAATGTGGAGATAGTTCTGCGCTGTATTGTGAATTGCAGGACATTTAACAGCATCCCTAGGCACTAGATGTTTCTAGTGCCCCCCTTACATCTCTCATCTGCCCACTCCTATCATCTCAACAATCAGAAATGTCTCCAAACATTGGCAAATGTCCCCTAGAAGGCAAAAATGTCCCTGGTTAAGAACCATAGCATTGTTCATCAGTAACCATTGCAACCCTAAATGAACTCAACCATACATTTTCTCCAATTCTAACCTCAAAAAAGTGACTACTGCTTGAAAAAGCCACACAGGAGAGCAGAACAAGTGAGTTCATTTTACCGATTGTATACAGGTCCTCAACACTGTTTACTAGTCCTATTATTTTTCTCTGGCCAACTTGCTCTATTATTTTCTACAGTATTCCAAATCTTCTCCACTTCCCTTAAAACTCCCAACCTCTTTTTTTTAATCAAGAGTTTCACAGAGAAAACAGAGGTCACCAAATGAGAACTTCTTTAACTTCCTCTTACAAAACCTACAAACTTGCACACAGATACTTCCTCTCTTTATGACTGAGGAGGTATCTCTCTTCCAAGACATTCTTCCCAGCAGTGCTTTGGATTGCCTTTACTCTTATCATTTCAAGATCCTTTACCACTAACTATCATTTCTCTTCTTTTTTTAATTGTATTTTCCCCATTACCATCTATCCTTCTTATACCCTTTTCCTTCTCCCCCCAACCCCTCCCCCTTCTTACTCTCTTTGTTCAGCTATATTTCCTCACCTGTATCTTCCCTATCATACTTAAGTTTTTTCTGTTTTAATTCTATCAAAACTAAAATACTAAAATAAAATAAACAAAAATATTTGACTTCTTGTCATCCTCTTCCTCCCTCCTCTCAAGGCCAAACTTTCCAAAAGCATTCTATGACTTGCCCCCATTTCTGCATCTCCTCTCTTCAAACTACTGCAGTCTATCTTTCAACCTCATGGTGCCACCACATCATTCTACCACACAGCTGTCATTAAGATCACTAATGACCTTCAAAAGATAATTTCTCAGGCTTCATCTTTCTTGACCCCCTGGGAGTATACCACTCCTTTGAACCCCCCCTCCCTCTCACAATTACCAACACGGTCCTCCATTCTTAGAGGTGCTTGGAAGGATTCCTACACCTGCTTAAAACCCTTCAATGGTTTTCAGTGGTCACAGTATAAAGTACAGTCTCACTAGTCCAAACATGCAAGACCTTCCTAGATCTAGCCATGGCCAACTTGAAAAACAATTGTTTTTAATCCTCACCTGAGGACATTGTTTTTTGAGAGAGAGGAAGGGAGAGAGAGATGTGAGAGAGTAATGTCAAGGTGAGAGAGAAACATTGGTTGGTTGCCTCACTACGCACCCTGACCGGGATCGAACCCGCCACTAAGTATGTATGTGCCCTAACCAGGAGGACGCAACCACCTGAGCCACACCGATCAACGCCATAGCCATAACCAACTTTAAAAAATGTATTCCCTTCTTCACCCAGAGATATATGATGAGCTCTAAACCTCTAAACAGGACGAACTACAAAGAATTTCCAGAAGGCTCTATGTTTTTCTTGGCATAAGCTGTGCCCAATGAACAGTCTACAAGTCTATATCTCCCTCCCTCCCCAACTTCCTGGGGAACACTATCCTTCAAGATTCAAAAGTCATTTCCTCTGCGAACCCTTCCAGACACCCTTCAAAATAAGGTGCTTTGTTCATTGTGTGCCAACGATATCTCGGATTTTCTATATGCCACACACTGTATTCCATCCAATGTAATTTGTATACATCTTCGAGTCTAGATAGATCGAAAGATCCTGGAGGGCAGGGAAGGCATTCCATTCGCCTTCTTTCCGCAGCGTTCATCTCGCACAGTGCCTGGCACACGGTTTGCCCTCACTAAGCGTTTGCTGCACGAAAACCTCCCATCTGCCGGCAAGAGTCCAACTATCCCGTTAACTGGTGAGTCCCCAAGCTCTCCGCCTGCGTGGCAGGGATATTTAAACCCCCTGCACCGTGATTGGCTGCAGCTTCAGGGGTGTGTCCACGCCCGCGGCACCAGGGAAGTGCGCAGGCGCCCGACTCTGGCGCGCGCAGGCGCAGGAAAGGCGCAGCTCAGAGTCTGGCGGTGTCCGAGCTACTGTGGTCAGAGAGGAGTGACCGGAATTGCTTGGTGAGTCTCCAGGAGTGGGCTGAGGGAGCTGACTGGGTGAAAATTGGGATCGTGCCCCAAGAAGAAGTATACGTGATGGCTGAAAAGTTGGCGGTGTCCGGCTTTAGGGGAAGAGGGGACGTTCTGACCCGGACTGGGCAAGTCGGGCCCTGAACGAGGATGCGAGGCGCTAGGAGACTGTCAAGGGACTGGTTGGCGGAGGGAGGTGGCGGGATGGTGGTTCTTTGGCCCCTTCCTTGAACCGAGCTACGTAAGCTGCCACTCCCTCACCAACCATTCCCCTGACTATAGTGATCAGAAAACTCTGTACTGGTTGTTTGAAGGTCTCTGAGTTTCGTGGCATTAAAGATTCCATGCTGTCTCGGAAAGGCCATTCTTACCTCGCCTTTTTACTGCAGACTTACGGAAAAAAGGATCGATAAAACGAATTTCTTAATTAGGGGATGGAGTAGTGGAGGGCCGGGGAAGTACTGGAAAGTACTGTTTTCACCTCGCCCTTCTTATTGTCATTAGTCACCACAGTGTTAGTAAGGGAAGGGTGAGGATAGAGGAAATCGATAGACACTAAAGTTGGGAAAAATAAGATGAGAGGGGAATATTACTTTAATATTTGTCATGTCTTTTGTGGGGGGCTATTGGGAGAGGGGATACTGGCAGTTCTGACAGTGTTCCCTCAAACTTGTGAAAATAATATCGCTTCTTACTAGCAGGTATTTCGAGAATTAAGAAGGCTATTACTTCATCTGTCCTGGTGCCCTTAAGACTAGTTTTCACAAATCCCAGTAAAATTCTGCAGAAATAGCCAGATGGAAGTGGTTCTCCTAAGTTCTTGCTCAGCCTGGATAACCATATTTGAAGTTCATGAGACATCATTAGGTAGAATACTTTGAAATTTAATCTTCAGATACCTCGTACTATTTTTTTACATTAATATTCCTGCCTCCAGCAAAATTGATGCCTTAAGCTTCAATCCGATGATCACTTGTCATTCATTCTTTTGGTAACATAATGGAAAAAGAACATATTTATGAAAATATTAGCAAATATAAGGAGAAACACCTCTTTTCACATTACCATGCCCATTTGATGGATCATATGAGAATAAATAATATTTATCAGTGTTTCTAGGGTGTTCCTTTTTTAGGTGCTTGTATGTGGATATGCACTAGAAAATTGCTGTTATCTTAGTTTCAGAATAGGGATAACTTATTGTGCCCTTATTTTCTTAACTATAGTACACTCTTTCCTATAAGCAACAGAATTTCTGTATGCGTCTTAAGTGTTTGTTGATTTTATTCTAAATGAACTTAAGCATAGTATCAAGGTCACTCAAGTAAAGGTCACATATTTTCTAACCATTCAAAACACAACATTGAACCAAGAAAAAAGCAAACAAACAAGTGAACAGAGAAAACAGGCCCTGTTCCTCATGAGACAGCTGTCAGTACTTGATTTATCATGAACCGCATAGCACCATCATAAAATAATGTCTTTTAGAAGAGTATCTGTGTTATTATTTCACTTCATATTTTAATGGACTTTGAAAAAATTACCCTCTTTCAAAGTGATAACCTGTGAAGTCACAGATTAGATTTATTTTATACCTTTCTAATAAATATGCAAATATTAAATATACAACTTTAGTTTATATAACAGCTAAAACCATATCTTATTCTTGCTCTGCACTTTGGAAAAGACAGCTTTGGGACCTAATCTATTCATTTTTAGCAGATTCAAATAGACACAGTTCTAGCAAATTTACCTATTTGATTTCATCAGGGGAAAATAGATTGGAATAGCAAAAGGAGAAAAGGATATTTACTCTTTGAGACTTTTTTTAAATCAGCTGCCTTTTTTGTTTGTTTGTTTGTTTCTTTTGATTAAGGCGCTTTCTTTTTCCTTCTGTGATTCCTATGTCTTAAACATTCTGGAAACCTATTTTTTAGCTGTGTTTGTACTCTGTGTTATGTATGTGTGTAAGTTAATGTTTATAACGTATGATGTTGGTTGAGTCCAGGAGTGCTGAACTTTTTTATTCTAGTGCCATAATTTTGTTTCCAGTTCTGTAGATTGACAGAGGAGAGATGACAAGGACTGGTATTTTTTTTGTTGTGGTGGGTAGTGGCTTGAAACAGATGGATCCAGTGCTTCCAACAATTGGAGGAAGAGGATTGTGGAGCCAGGAAACAGCATTTACTGTGTAATTTTAAGGGTGGAGGTGGTGCACTCATTTAAGTTCACTGATATTTTGGTTTTGATTTTAATTTAGGTTGTGTTGCTACTAAAATATTTAAATCCACTGATCACTGTATTTTTCTGGAATTCCCTTATCTTGTTGATTTTGTGAGTTCTATAACTTGGATTTAAAGTTTGTTTTAAAATTATTTAAACAATGTTTTAACAGTTGAGATTACCTTTAGATGGCTCCCTGATGCTTATAAAATCAAATCCAAACTTATTATAGTATACAAACCCCTTTATAACTTGGCTCCTGCCTGCCTTTTAAAGTCATCCTGCCCCACTTGTATGTGCGTTAAGTTCTTGCATGACTGTTGAGGCCTTACATGTGGTACTTCTTTGATAGTCTAAAAATCACAATTTTTTAGAGTTGATCGTGCTTGGATTTTCACTATCATCAAAAATAATAATATTATGAAAAATTATAATAGCTTTATTGAGCACTATGTGACAGTGTGATAGCCAAATGCTTTGCATGAACAACATTTGAAGTGAGCATTATATTTTCACTTAATGAGAAAACTGAATCACAGAGAATTTAAGTAAGAGACAGTGAGGATTTGAAACTGTTATGCCTCCAAATATTGGGCACTTAACTACTACATGGTATTGCCTTTTATATAAACAAGAATGCCACTCTTTAAATCTACTAAGGGGGGATATTCTTTTCCAGGGACCTGAGTACTTATGCTTTCTATCTGTGGCATCTTACTCCTGGTATCAGAATATTTGAGAACCTAACCAGAAAGCTTCTGGTGTTGGATGGTGTGGGCGAATATTTTATTCTGGCAAAGTGAAGCCTTGCCAATGATCTCCACTTCACACATGGTGTCTCCTGGGCAGATATTATACTTACTATGCCAGATTGTGTCTCTCTTCCCTGCAAAATGAATGCTGCATTCTTGAACCTCCTTATTTTTCAGATAGCACATCCTTTTTCTGTTTTCATAGTCTTTCTTTTAGACTGGGTTAGTATAATTGATTAGTTGATTATAATCACATCTAGATCTGCCTTCTCAGGATTAATCTCTGGTCACTTAGAGTAAAATTGTGGAAGTTGCAAGGTTAAGCAGAACTTGGAAACTAGGTGTTGGTCATCACCTAGTTTTTAAGTTGTGATAGGTGCTTCTGTGAAACTGAAGTGTAATTTTGGTCTTTTGGGTTCATGATTTTTGGTGGTACTTTCTTACTCATTTGCTTGAATCATGTGCTTCAGTGCTCTTTGAAACCAAGATGTTTAATAGATACGGTTTAGTGGTGTACTTACATTTGCATTGTCTGGGGGCCTCACACAAGAATAGATAAAGTTGTTCCTACAGAGGGAAGTTGAAAGAAAACTCGAAAGAGGAAGTAAAAGGAGGAAACTAGCCTTAATGTAAACAAGACTCTTATTGAAATGCCTTCAGGAAAAATTAAATTTCCTAACCAGAGCATGAATTCTTTTTGGCCTGACCTAGACTATTTACAATATTTTCTAAATCTGTGCCCCTGTACTTTTTGAGTATGTGTGTGGATATTTCCCTTTTTTCTTCCTCCTTTCCTTCCTTATTTTATTCCTTATATGTGAGTCTAAGAACAAAAATATATTTCTAAAAAGAAACTAAATTCTTTTACCCAGAAAGTAATGTTATATATCTGAATTTCTCCTTTGTTTTCTATAATTATTTCTTCCATTCCATCCATTCATTCGCCATTATTTATCTCTAGAGTCTTCAGAAAAGAGCTGCTTAGGTGTATTGTGCATACACTTGTATGTCATTAACTCACGGCACGAGATGCAAAGGTGAGGTAGGCATGATTGGCAAGGCTTCACCTGCCTGAACAAAGTATTCATCCAAATATTTTGGCTCTGATTCTGAGTTTACCTGGAAGCTTTCTGATTAGCTTCTCAAACATTCTGATACCAGGAGTTAGACACTGCCAATACCGAACATAACAAATAACATGAGTACAAATGCTCAGTTCCTCAATAATTGTCATTTCATGATCATTATAACTGTCCTTTCATGAGTCTTTACTCTGTGCTAGGCACTGTACTAAGCACTTTATGTATATTAACTAATTTTATGTCTGAAACAACCCTGGGAGGGAGAACTGTTAACCTAATGAATGAGGAAACTGAGGCTTGAATAGGTTAAGTATATTACCTGGGTATCAGAGCTGGGATGAATTTGAGGTCTGTCAGAGTATATGTTATTAGCCACTACATGAAGCTGCAACACAATTTTTTAAATTATCTCGCCAGAAGTAGCAAACTTAGTCACAGGAAAATTGATAACTGAAATCATAGTCAACCCAACTAGATCTTGGCAGTAGTTCATATGGCCCTAGCCTTAGGCTAAGAAGACTAGACTGGTAGAGAAGGTAGAAAACTGAAAAAAAAATGAAAAAGGAAAACTATATATTTGAATGCAGTGGAAGAGTTCTTTGTTTTCTGTATCCTAACTGCAATGTATCATAAAATACACATTTCAAAAGAAATAAGGGTAGTTTTCTTGACATCAGAATATGTTTCCTTACTTGATAGTAGATGCATGAAAAATGTCTGGAATGAATTAAGAGGGATATTTACTCCAGGAGTAGGGTTTCTTTCTGCCAAGCCTACAGACTGGGCAGATACCGACTCCTCATTGTTCTTCATCTGTCAGTGTAAATGACATTTCACCTCTCTCTTGAGGAGATCATTATAGGTAGATGGTAGTTTTCACCACATTCTCTTCTGACAGCCTTAAACTGTAGTTTTCCTCTTCATTTGGGCTCTG